AAATTGGAAAATTTATTAATTACAAAGGAACAAAATTAATCTATGCAGTCCTACAGGCTTGAAAATAAAATTAGAATTTTTCACAAACCCAAGGCATTCAGAAACATGGACTTTAATTTTGCTGTAGCAGACAGTTCATTAATGAGAGGTGCCCTTCCATATTTAGGTCTCTCCATACTTTTGTCCCAATCTTTTGATCTGAGTAATGTTCTCTGAAGGGCATACTGGACTCCTTGAAAGTCTCCACAAAATGATTGTTTGGGCATTTGCCCAGGAAGCTGAAAGTTTTTATGGATAATTATCCCATGTTTCCATAAACATCTACCACTCTAAATTTGAGTTGTTGGAGATTTCTGAGGGTTCCACAAGACTTTAGAGGATTAAAATCTGTTGGAACACCTGAGTGACTTATAAAGCTGACTCACTCTCCCAACATCTCTGGCTCACTACTTATTGCTTTCTTTTTATCTTGCAAGAGATCCCTCCCGATCCTGACCAAACACTCCCCCAACTCAACCCTTCTATCTCTGAGCTCACTATATATAAAACACGCTTCCTGATGTACCCTAACTCCTTACCCACCTACCTGGCACCCACCCACCGATCACTTCATTTTGTTAGCTGCCTGCCAACCTATCCCTTCATCCACTTAACAACCAGCTCAACCCCTCAACTTACCTGCTTTACAACCCTCTTGTCCACTAATCTCTACATCTTTATAATCTCTCCATTGGTTGGCAATGAGTCTTTCAGATGTGTGAACACTTCACTCACCTGAATGCAGTAAATCACAGAATTGTTACAGCATAGAGAGAGGCCATTGTTCTTGCATTTTTCTATCACCTTGCTCCAATCTCCTGCCTTTTCCCCATATACTTGTACAACATTTCCACCCAAATAACCTTCCAATGCCCATCTCCAATTGAACCTGTCTCCACTACATTCCCAGGCAACGAATTCTATACCCTAACTGCTTGCTAAGTGGAAAAGGTTTTCCTCACATCACCTTTGCTTTGCTTGTACATCAATTTAAAGCTATTTCCCCCTTGTTCTTTTTACTTTTATGAGGGGGAATAGCTTCTCCCTAACTATTTTGTCCAGCCTGCTCATGTTTTTAAAAACCTTGACCAAATCACCTCTCGGCTTACTTCTCTCCAAGGAGAATAATCCTTGACTACCCTCATCCCTGAAGTTTCTTATCCCTGGAACCAGTTTTGTCAATCACTTCTGCTCTCTCTCCAGTGCATTCACATCTTTAATAATGTGGTGCTCACAATTGTACACAATACTGCAGCTGAGGTTGAACAAGTGTTGTTTACAAGTTCAGCATCACCTCATTCCTCTCGTGCTCTGTGTAAAGAGTAAAAGGGAGGCATGGAATTTCCAGCTCTCTCCTAATGCTACATCACATGCATTCAGCTGGAATGAAGGCATAGCGTACATTTCTGAAGATTCTGACATCAGATGTTGGCCAGAAATGCAGTGCTCAGACACAACACAAGATAGAAATATAAATAATAGGTGTATTCAGCCCCTCGAGCCTGTACCACCATTCAATTGGATCATGGCCAATTTCAGTATCTCACTCCCACTTTCCCTCCATACCCCTTGATCCCTTTAGCTGCAAGGGCCACATTCAGCTCCCTCCTGAACATATCTAATGAACTGGCCCCAACAGCTTGCTGTGGAAGAGAATTCCACAGGTTCCCAACTCTCTGAGTGAAGAAAGTCTTCCTCATCTGAGTCCTGAATGGCTTACCCCTTATTCTTGGGCAGTGACCCCTAGTTCTGGACTTCCCCAACATCAGGAACATTCTTCCTGTATCTAGCCTGTCCAGTCCCATCAGAACCTTAAATCTTCTGATGAGATCCCCCTTGTTCTTCTGAATTCCAGTGTGAGAGCTGTAATCCGATGGAGACTGGAGCTTTTGGGTGTCAAGTGGGGAACTGTTAACAATGTAATGAGAGAAAGAGTGTATTTGGGAGCTGAGTGAGCAGGGCAACTGACTGGCTATCTCCCAAAGGATCTGATGGAAGCATTGTGAACTAGTAATGTAGGGGACTGAACAGGCAATGGCCTGGACAGTCTGCAGAGTGGCAATCACAGTCAGATTGCCATCCTACTCCAATTTCCTTACATAAGGATTGAGCTCAACATAGGGAATTCTGATCCAGAACATAAGACCATAAACAATAGAAGCAGAAGTGGGCCATTTGGCCCATCAAGTCTGTCCTACCGCTTGATCATGGCTGATATGTTTCTCTACCCCATTCTCTTGCTTTCTCCCTATAACCCTTGATCAGTTTACTAACCAAGACTCCTTCAGGAGTGAGAAGGCACACCAGAAGTCAAATTGATGGGTAAGCAAGGGGAGTGCCTCCTTACTGTTATTTACCCCACAAAAGACATAGCATAAATAGACTTTTCTGTTGTCTTGTATCTCATTGTCCCAAATGGGATGCCTGGTGGGAATACCTATAAAACTGTGATGCAGAATCAACTCTTTGGCTGTAAAAACAAAAAACTTGTGTACACAATGAGGATGTGAAAGGTCCTTAAATGAATGTACGTTCTTGTTTTAACCTTACTTTAACAAATCCGCCTGTACCTGCAGGATAGTCAGGTGATATCACACACTCTCTCCTTTGCAGCAGCTAATGCGCTCTGTGCCAGCTCGGTATCAGTTAAGTGATAGATGACTTAGTGTAGGGTGAAGAGATGACACAATATGGAGCTGGAGGAACACAGCTGGCCGGGCAGCATCAGAAGAGCAGGAAAGTTGACATTTCAGGTCAGGACCCTTCTTCCCACCCTGCAACATCAACTTTCCTGCTCCTCTGATGCTGCCTGGCCTGCTGTGTTCCTCCAGCTCCACACTGTGTTATCTTTGACTCCAGCAGCTGCAGTTCTTACTATCTCTAGTACAGGGTGAAGTTGTGGGTGTTGGGGGGGAATGGGTCCTGAACCAGGGAAGGTGCAGTGTTGTTAAAATTGAATCAGAGATAGTAGGAACTGCAGATGCTGGAGAATCTGAGACAACAAGGTGCAGGGCTGGATGAACAGAGCAGGCCAAGCAGAATCATAGGAGCAGAAAGGCTGACGTTTCGGGCCTAGACCCTTCATCAGAAAAGCCTGATGATGCTGCTTGGCCTGCTGTATTCATCCAGCCCTGCACCTTGTTGTCAAGGTGCAGTGTTGTGTCTGACAGGGGATAGGGTGCTTAAGGTCTGACACTGGGAGACCAGGCTGACATTGGTGTGGTATCATCCATGGTGCTATCAGGCCAGCAGGGAAGCTGGTATTAGGTTCCACAGCAGGGGAAGGGTTGGCTTAATCCTTATGTAAGGATATTGGAGTAGGATAGCAATCTGACTGTGATTGCCACTCTTCAGACTGTCCACTGGTGAGGATTGAGATTATTTTGGATCTGATGGTAGCTGCCAGACCAGCATTGGAGAGGAGTTTTGTGTCCCAGGGTGGTGTACGTGGTCATGTTAGTCTGTGGGATTCCGTTCTGGGGAAAAGGTAATGGTCAGTGATCCAGGGGCTATCCATGTCAATTAAAGTGAGTGTCAAAAACCACAATAATCTCCTCAGAAAACAGACACAGGATACAACCGATAGAGTACCCTTCATTGCCCAGAACTTCCCCGGAGCGGAGAAACTATGCCATGTTCTTCGCAGCCTTCAACATGTCATCGATGATGACGATGAGCATCTCGCTATGATCATCACTAAGCCTCCACTTCTCGCCTTCAAACAAATGCCAAACCTTAAACAGACCATCACTCACAGCAAACTACCCAGCCTTCAGGACAACATCGATCACAACACCACACAACCCTGTCATGGAAATCTCTGTAAGACATGCTCGATCATCAACATAGATACTACCATCACACATGGGAACACCACCCACCACGTGCACGGCAGATACTCATGTGACTCGGCCAAAATTGTCTATCTCATACACTGCAGGCAAGGTTGCCCTGAGGCATGGTACGTTGGTGAGACCATGCAGATACTACAACAATAGATAAATGGACACTGCGTAACAATCACTAGACAGGAATGTTCCCTTCCAGTCGGGGGACACTTCAGTGGTCAAGGACATTCAGCCTCCGAACTTCAGGTAAGTGTCCTCCAAGGTGGCATTCGAGATACACAACAACACAGAATCGCCGAGCAGAAACTGATAGCCAAGTTCCGTACCCATGGAGACGGCCTCAACCGTGATCTTGGGTTCATGTTGCACTACATGTGACCCCACCACACTGTTCTGTATCTGTAAAATCTTCCTTACTGTCCTGTTTTGTCACCATCACCGGGATATATTGTTATGATCTCTCTCCCTTAATTAGTTTGTACAGTTTTGGATGACATATTATTTTGGTTAGACCCTCGGCATGCGACTCTTATACCTATCATGCTATTCCAGTCATTTGGTTTGTCTCCAGCACCACCTTATTTTTAATTTTGTGTAATTACCTCTCCGCATCATTTCATCCAATTATAGGTCATTCTTTTGCTTGTAATTCAGCTGTTGACACTTTACTCACACCGTCTGACACTTCAGATCACCTGCAGGGACTTATTATTCGACACTCCACTCACACCATTTGTATGATCTTTTGATTTCTCTGCCCATAAATTCTGTGCCTGTGTGCTTCTCTCTCACTGCACCTGGCAAAGGGGTTATGCTCTGAAAGCTTATGATTTCAAATAAACCTATTGTTAACCTGATGTCGTGTGACTTCTGACTTTGTCGACCCCAGTCAAACACTAACCCCTCCACATCATGTCAAAGGTTGGGTATGGAATGAGAAATAGAGAGAGTTGAGGAAAAGTACAATTAGATTTTGAGAGCAAGGTAAAGGAAAAGTATATTGCATTGAAAAGAGAGTACATTGACTGTACCATCAACACAACAGGAGGACAAGTCCTTATTTACTCTGAGCTCTCTATGAAACCCAAGGCTTGCACATTGAAACTGTGTCGGCTAACAGTCGTTTAGCATTCTTGAAATTACATCAAAGAATGCTACAATACAGAAAGAGAATAATTAACCACATTCTATGTGTCATTCCTTTGGAAGAAAAAACTCTAATTAGAGTCACTCTCCTGTTCTTCTTCCATAGTCCTGCAAATGTCTGCCCTTCATATTTAACCAATTCCTTTCTGAAAATCACAACTCAATCTGCTTCCCTCATCCTTTAGGTAGTCATTCCAAACAGTAACAACTCGTTACACATCAAAATGATTGTCATCTTGCCTCTCGTTCTTTTGCCAATCACCTTAGATCTGGCTGCTGCTGCAGAAATCAGTTTCTATTTGACTTTGATACAATCCCGCGCATTGTGTTCCAGTCACTTACTTTGACTCCCATTGGAATTCACTGTTTTCCAATCTCCTGAATCTGCTTCGTTGACTTCCACTTGGTAGTGATGAATTGGGACACCGCCGTGAGAATCAGGCTTGGTGAAGGAGATTCTTGCAATTGTCTGTGATACAGCCAGGACTCTCAACCCATATGGACGGGAGGGAACAGCTGTCAAGAAAGAACCCACACCATTATGTGTCAGCAATAGTGACGGGAAAACTCCGAGAGACAAAATCAAATCTGCACCAAATTACAACTTTCCAATCTCTGCAGCATCTTCCACTATGATTACTTTCTTCATTAGTCTGCTTCAGTATTTGCAAAGCAGTCAAAATGTTCAGGCATAGATCAGTGGGTAGTGGTCTGAGGCAGAAAGTGGTGGGCTCAATCCCCACCCTGGAGCTACAGAACAATTTCTAGACTGACATTTTAGTGAAATCAGCATTGTTGGAGGCGCTGCCTTTCAACAGGGAGAGGAGGTGGACATGTCAGTGCACTAATAATCCAAATCCCAGCCTAATGCCCTGGGGACAAACATTCAAATCTCACCATAAGAGCAAGGATTCAATTTGCAGAATCTGGAACTAAAAATGCAATATTAAGTTGACCATGAATCATTCATTGTTACCTGGTTCACATATTCCCTCTGGGGAATGAAGTCTGGTCTTCATGTGTCTGCGGTCCTACATCAATGTGGTTGACCCTTAAACTGTGAACGACCTAGCAAGGCATTCAATTGTTGAGGCAGCTGCATTTTTCTTTTGAAAATCGCTCACCTATCACCCAAATCCAATGAAAGAATATGAAGGTGTTTCATTTCTCTAGCTGGAGAGAACGTGACAGATACTGTGAAACTATTTGATGGGTAAGTAAGGAGAATGCTTTCTGACTGATGTTTATCCTACACCAGACACGATGAAAGTAGACTTCCCTTTTGTCCTTTATATCATTGCCACAAGTGGGATCTTGTTGTGCATCAATTGCCTGATGATAGCACCTATAAAACTATAATGCAAAATCATCTTTACGATGATGTGAAAGGTCCTGAAATGAATGTGCGTTCTTGCTTAGATCTATTGGTTAATGTGATCAGTATATAATTCAAGTAACTGAATGGGTATTTGAGAAGATTGTCACTGGAGAATGAACTGACACATCTGTAGTTGCTGTCAGTCTTAGTAAATGGCTCTTCCTTTGCTTTATCATCAACAATAACTTACGTTCATACAGCTTCCTTAATGCAGAAATGTCCCTAGGCACTTTACAGAAGCGTAGTCAGACAAAAATGAATGCTAAACCGACAAAGGAAATATTACCAGTGATGGCTGCAATGCTTTTCATGCTGATCCTATATTTATACCTTTCTATATTGATTCCACAAGTGAAAACTACCTTTAATAATTTGTACTCTCAAATTACACAGTGATACAGTGCAAGCATTCAGCTGATCAGACTTGTATCATCTCTCTGAGTTACTTAATTAGTCTCTTCCCTACTGCTCTTTCCCTGTAATATTTTACCCATTCATTCAATTTGATCATTCAAAGTTACCATTGAATCTCCTGGACCTGTCCTTTCCTGATCATAAGAAACCCTTTTGTAGTTCTTAAGCTACTTTTGGGATTGCCCTTGGATGCTCCTGCTCTAATATGGTGATGTGAAGCTATTTTTTTTCTTTGTTGTTCTGAGCTGACGCTTATGAAGTTTATTAAATAATGTGTCTTAGATGGTACCAGGCTGTACTTGCAACACTGATAGATGCAAGGATTTATAGAGTGTGGAAACAGATTGTGACACATGTGTCGAATGAACTGGAAATGCAACACTTTTAAAATTACTTCTCCAGTTATACTCCACATTGACCTTCAGCAGTAATTGATGTCGCTGATTTCATTATGATTTGATTACACTTCTTTTCTCATTTTATCCTGAAAGCAAGTTATAAGGACACAAATATCAATTCCCCTGTCAGCCACGCTGCAGTTTGGTTGATTGCAGTCTACCATCCACAAAAGGCTTCCACGCTTGTTGCCTCTGTGACATGTTCTGTGGACTATCTCGAAGTCAGTGTTGCTCTGTAAAGTGACTGTAAAAGCATTTTTCTGCTGGAAACAGACATGAGATTCTTTAGTTCTTCACAGTCACAAAATAACAAGTTGATGATCAGTCTTAGGGTCTGAACACTCTATATTCTGCATATATGGAATCCAGTAACATGTTGTGTGAAAATAAGGAGATTATCATCAAACTACTTTGCATTGGGCTTTCCACTGGTGTCACTGCACCTGAACCTTTATTGAAGATTTGCAATGACAACAGGCGAGCAATATTTTGAGAATCAGTGAGAATTTTGAGACCCTACTTCTTTGGAACACTTAATATTGGGCCATTATTTGAGAGTAACACATTTTGACAAAGTAAATAAGAAGGAAAAGGCTCCCTTTTTCAGTTCTCCCCTTTTAGAGGTGCTTATTCTTCTGACCATTGATCTCATTGCTCCCTGTGGGATCTTGCTCTGCATATATTTCCTGCCACATTTCCTCCATTGCAACTATGACCTCACTTCAAAAGTAACTAATTGCTTTAAAGCACTTTGAAATGTCTGAAGAAGGGTCACTGGAATCAAAATGTTAACTCTGCTTTCTCTCCACGGATGCTTCCAGACCTGCTGAGTTTCTCCAGCAATTTCTGTTTTTGTTTGTTTGAAATGCCTTACAGTTATAAAAGGTGCTGGTTTATTTTATTGTTGTGTTAGGTTGTGAAAAGATGGAGAAGGGAAAATATGAAGAGAAATATTCAACTGAACTGCATAGTTGGGTAATGGCGTGGACTGAATCACCTTTCATTTGTATGGGAGGGATAGTGAAGTCGTGGTATTGTTGTTGGGCTAGTAATCCAGAGGTTTGGTAATGTCCTGGGAATCTTGGTTCAAGTCCTGCCACGATAAATGGTAGAATTCAATAAAAAAAATCAAGATTAAACATCAAATGATGACTGTTGTTCAGTGTGATAAAAAATTCCATAATTCATTACAGAAGAAAAACTATCATGCTTAACTTTGTCCGCTCTGCATTCATTCTACTGATTGGCTATTAATAGTCCTCTGAAAGGCGCTGCAAGCTACTCAGTTATATCAACATATAGAAAGCCTCAAAAAAGGAATCATCTGGTGTTGACTAAGGTACCAGAAATACCAATGACAAACTCAGCCTAGCAAAGAGCTGATAATAGGGCAAACATTGGAAGAGTTGCCTCATAGATCAGTTGGGTAACTGATTCTGACGGAATCATACACAAGCATTACCATCTTTGCAGGATAAATCCAGCAGAGGATGTGGCACAATAATATGCAGGTGGGGGAGAATTATCTTGGGAGTCCTTAATATTGACTTGGGGCACCATGAAGTCTCATGGTATCAGGTCAAACAACAGCAAAAGAACCTTTTGGTGATTACTACATACAGGACATCAATGCAATTGTTCTGCTGGATTGTGTCCAAGTTCCAACCATCATTAACTGCTTTATCAATTACCCCTCTTGCCACCATAATGTCAGAAGTGGAAATGTTGCTGAAGATTGCACAATGTTTAGTACCATATTGCTCCTCAGATACTGAAGCAGCTCAAGTTTATATGCAGCAAGATATGGGCAATTTCCTGATTTGGCTGACAAGAAGAAAATAACATTTTTGCCCACAAGTGCCAGGTAATGAATACCTCCCATAGGAGAGACTCTAACCATTACCCTTTGACAATCAACAGCTTTGCCATCACTGAATCCCCAAATATTGATTTCCTTGGAGTTTACATTTCCGAGAAACTGATCTGAACTAGACATATAAAGGAAGAATGCAAGATTATACTTTGAATATCTAAAAGGGAAGCGAGAGGCAGGGGCGGACATTCGGCCACCAGAAAAAGATGTTGGAAAAGTAGTAATGGAAAACAATGAAATGGTGAAGGAACTGAATAGGTAGATACCAGCAGCGCACAGAACTTTAAGAGAGTCGGGGGCAGAGGTGAACATAGAACACAGAATATAGAACATGGAACATAGAACATAGAGCAGTACAGCACAGTACAGGTCCTTTGGCCCACGATGTTGTGCTGACCTATTATTCTACTAAAATGAATCAACCCTGCATACCCTACCTTTTACTATCCTCCACGTGCCTATCCAAAAGTCGCTTAAAAGTCTCCAAAGTAACTGACTCCAGTACCACTGCCGGCAGCGCATTCCACACGCCCACCACTCTCAGTGTGAAGAACCTACCTCTGACATCTCCCCTATACCTTCCTCCAATCACCTTAAAATTATGCCCCCTCGTAATAGTCATTGCAGTGCAGTGGTCATCAATAAGGAGAAGGTGCAGGCTAAGCTGAAATGTCTGAAGGTGGATAAATATCCTGGATCAGATGGAATAGACCCCAGAGTTCTGAAGGAGACAGCTAAGGAGATTGTGGAGGCATTAGAGGTGATCTTTCAGGAATCACTGGACTTAGGGAGGGTCCCAGTAGACTGGAAAATGGCTAATGTAAATCCCCTATTAAGAAGGGGGGGCAGAAGACGGGAAACTATAGGCCTCTTAGCCTGACCTTGGTCATTGGCAAGATTTTGGTGTCCCTTATAAAGGATGAGATTGTGGAGTACTTGGAAGTGCGTGGTAAAATAAGGCTGAGTTAGTGCAGCTTCATCAAGGGGAGGTCATGCCTGACAAATCTATTAGAATTCTTTGAGGAAGTAATGAAGAAATCAGACAAAGGAGAGCCAGTGGATGTGATTGATTAAGAGCCCATGGTGTCAGAGGCAAGGTACTGGCATGGACAGAGGATTGGCTGACTAGCAGAAGGAAGTGAAGCCGGGATAATGAGGTTTTATCAGGATGGCAACTGGTGATAAGTGGAGTTCCACAGGAACCATTTTGGGACCATAACTATTCACATTATATATTTACGAACTGGATGAAGGAACTGAGGGCATTGTTGCTACGTTTGCAGATGACACAAAATGGGTGAAGGACAGGTAGTCTTGAGGAAGTGGAGTATCTGTAGGAGGACTTGGACTTGCTAGGAGAGTGGGCAATGAAGTGATACAATAAATTGAATACAATGTGGGAAAGTGTGAGATAATGCACTTTGGTAAGAAGAATAGAGGCAGGGACTATTTT